GTTCCCTATGAACCCGGTCCGTCCACCATCTCCCAGAATATTTAGTGAGGCTGTCATCATATCCATTTATCAAATCACATACCATTTCTATTTGTTTTTAGTCTCCGTTACCAACTCAAGCATAAATTCATAAACAAGCAACGTGCATCCAACAAAGCAAACATATCTTAAATTCCTAAAATCAAACAGTAGTGAAGTAAGCAATGATTCATACATTTATAACTATAAAATAGATAAAGCAGATACCATATTGCATTTAAACTGTAAAATAAATCAAGCAGGAATCGACAGAGAATAATGTCCGATTTTGGGCTCCATTAGTAACCTTAATTAATTATGCGTATCTATTAATTTGTAAAAATACAGTATTACCATTTATTCGAACTTTAATTCCATGATAGGAAATAGGGTGAGAGGTCCTTACTTGATTTGGCGTCAAAAACTAGATTTTCACTGCGCCTACGAGCGGTCCTTGGGTTCCCTAAATTTTTTCTTGGGAACTGAAACGCGCTTACAGTACCTACACATGTCCCAAATAACCCAAAAAATTAGACCCAGGGCCTACTCGGCCAATTTTAAAACTCCAGTATGGCGGTGATCCACATCGGGTTGGCTGTTTTCAGCCGTTTTCAGCCGAATTCAGCCAAACTTGCATCGGTTCTTTTGAAAAAACACACTTAGGGTCCTTGGTGGGCCGAATAAATGTGAAAAACCAAAACTACCGGCGGTGGGGCTCTCTGATGCGGCGGCTCCTCCAATTCACGTCGCAGTTTGGTGTTTTGCTCTGGTCAACCTGTAGAGAAGGAAACGGTGATCACAATGGTCGAAAAATCACATCGAACAGGAATTGGGAAGGGCCTCATCGGAGGCAAAAATTGAGACACCCCACGGCATTTTTCGGCCATTTGGCCGGTGCTTTCGCTCCAATTTGGCCATATGTGGGTTTAGAATCGAATTATGAGAAAAGGGTAGAATTTTACCTCGTTTGGCGGTCGAAAATGCTCAGTACGCGACGGGTGGCGGCAGTCGGCTCCCCAGCGGCTACGCTGTCTCTCTAGCGAGAGGCTCTA